AAAAAAAAAAAGACATCACCATCACCATCGCCACATCCTCACTATCGTTTTCGTTTCGCCATCGCTATCCACCCATCCAAGCACACCCCTATAGAACAAGAAAGCACCCCTATAAAACAAGAAAGCACCCCTATAGAACAAGAAAGCACCATATATATTTATTTATTTATTTATTTTATTTTATTTTATTTTATTTCACCGCCTAGGTTTCGATATCATCCAATTCACTTTCATTGCATTCGATTCGATCCGATCCGATCGGATTCGAATCGATTCGATTCGATTCCCCATCCGATAAGCATTCTTTTCTTTTTCTCTTTTTTTTCCCAAAGTTTTTTCGTTTTTTTTTTTTTAAACATCGGGCGGGGCTCGCCTTCTGCAGACAGGGAATAAGAGCCCGTGTCTGGTGTAGGCGCACCCGGGATTCGATGGTAGAAAAAGCAAAGTCAGTAGTGACCGAGACGCTCAACACATAGCCACGGCGAGCGTGGCAATCATATGTGATAATAATCTCGATTCTGGTGTAGGCGCACCCCGGATTGATGGCTCCAATCTCATTCACGGGGAGCAGCATTCGACATGCAGTCTATTCGATTCGATTCGATTCCCCCTTCAATTTGTATTGTTCATTCCCATCGCACACTCGATTTCAGTCGCTTCATTTTTCTTCTTGTTTTTCTCTGTTTTTTTTCTTTCCTTTCCTTTCCTTTTTTTTTTTTTTCCTTCTTTTTTTTCTTTTTTTTCTTAATCCCCATAACAACAGCCGGGCTATCGCCGGCCCTCATCCATCATCCAACACGCAATTTAATTGCTCACGTGGCGCGTTACCCAAACCTCTTCCTCCATACCTTTCTCGGCCTTTTGGCTAAGTAAGATCAAGTGTAGTATCTGTTCTTATCAGTTTTTTTTTTTCTTTTTCTTTTTTTTCCTAATCTGTTCTGATCAGTTTGATATCTGATCCAACAGCGAGGAAAAAATAAAAGAAAAAAAAATCCGTGTATGGGCCACTTGGTCTTCCGTGCTTAAGAGCAAGTGTTCGGCCATTGCTTTCTTCCTACGGTAGTAGTATCTGTTATGATCCATATGTTATCTGATCTAACGGATTTAAATACAAAAAAAGAAATCCTCCCATGATTGCTTACATGGCGTTCGCGATCGACAACTCGCCCACGTACACAGTCGTCTTCGGGTTGGTCGTTGACATCACTTCTTTTCCACGAGTAAGGACGCTGATGCGATTTGTTGGGACTGCGCGATGATGAGCGGAACGGCGCGCCGTTGATGGCCTGCGATTTGTTGGGACTGCGCGATGATGAGCGGAACGGCGCGCCGTTGATGGCCGCGCACCTACCGCAGAATTAC